AGGGGCCCCCCGTGGGGCCCCCAAGGGGCCCCTCTGATGGGTCGAATGGAGAGGGGCCCCCAGAGGTGTTGAACGATGAGGGGCCCTCGGAGGGGCCCCTTGAGGGGCCCCCAGATGCGTTCGGCGAAGAGGGACCCCAGGCTACTTCACGGGGACCCCATGAGAAACCCTCTGAAGGGTTGGGTCTGGTGGGGGGCCCCTCAAGGGGGCCCCTCGAGGGTTTGCTGCAGAGGGCCCCTACCATAAGGGAGCTATAGGTATTTCTGGGTATTGAAGGGAGTTGTGGGCTGCTGCTGCTGCTGCTGCAGATCTTATTGCATTTGTCGTTGCTGCGTTTGCTGCTGCTGCTGCTGCTGCTGCTGCAGCAGCAGCAGCAGCAGAGGAGTGCTTGAGGGATTAAACAGCTGCAGCAGAAATAGGGCCCCTAAACCCTACACCTCCAAAAACTTTATTCGCCTTCTTGCAGGGTTTAGGGTTTAGGATTTTTGCTGAAGCTTTTAGGGTTTAGGGTTTAGGGTTTAGGGTTTGGGTAAAACAACGGGGGCCCTCGAGAGTAACGAAGGGCCCCCCAGCAGCAGGAGCATCAGAAGAGCCACTTGGCAAATAGTAGGTTAGTGTTTAGGGTTTAGGGTTTAGGGTTTAGTGTTTATATATTAGAGATCTGTGTTAAAATTTATCCTCTAGGGTTTAGGGTTTAGGGTTTAGGGTTTAGGGTCTGAAAGTGCCTGCTGGCTCGCGCATGCGCTGGGTGCCATCGGGAGTTAATCGATACCACGAAACCCCAAACCCTAAACCCTAAACCCCAAACCCTAAACCCTAAATTTGAGTTTTAGACTGCGTATATGTTGGATTTTTTTAATTTAATTTGTTGTCGACCCGTCGTAGAGTGTAAACCCTAAACCCCAAACCCTAAACCCTAAACCCTAGTGGTGCAGGGGCCTCGACAGGCAAAATAGTACAGCTGCCGGACTTACTAGGCCTTTTTATTTGTTTATCTTTGTTAAGGGTTTAGGGTTTAGGGTTTAGGGTTTACGAACAGCCTGTTACAGTAGCGATCCCCGCACAAACCCCACGCGAGTTGTCTTTCTTGCTGCTGCTGCTGCTGCAGCAAGCGCGACAGCAGCAGCAGCAGCAGCAGTAGCAACTGCAGCATCACCACAGCGAGAAGGAGCAGCAGCAGCAGCAGCAGCAGCAGCAAGAAAAATGCTAGCAGCATCAGGATCTCCCGTAGGAGCAGCAGCTCCAGCAGCTCCAGCAGCAGAAGAAGCAGCAGCAGCAACACCAACAGATGCAGCAAGAGAAGCAGCAATACAAGCAGTAGCAGCAGCAGCAGCAGCAGCAATGGAGGAAGACCCTGATGCATTAGACGAAGAAGATGATGGTCTCCCTGATGAGGTATTATTACCTACATCCCTTAAACCCTAAACCCTAAACCCTAAACCCTAAACCCTAATAGAAGTAATAAGTAGTAAATAATAATAAATATTAATATATAACATTATTAATACTACATATTAATAAATAAAATAAAAATTTTAAAATTTAAAAATTAGGGTTTAGGGTTTAGGGTTTAGGGTTTAGGGTTTAGGGTTTAGGGTTTAGGGTTTGTATGTATATATATACAGTTACATTTTCCATCAATGGAGGCAGCACGTGAATGGATGGAGGAGCAGAAGGCAAAAGGAGAATTTTTCTTTGTATTAGTAAGGACACATAAGCCTAAGCAGCCAAGGAAGGGAGTAAGAAGGAATATATCACCAGGAGCATCAGGAGCAGCAGCAGCAGCAGCAGGAACAGCAGCAGCAGCAGCAGCAGCAGCAGCAGCAGCAAACCCTAATATACCTGTATATACACTTACTTATAGATGTAAGAATTATAGAAATCCTCAAGATTTTGTTTCTTATAGAAAATATTGCCAAAGATTCTTACAGGAAGGAGCTCCTCCTGCTCCTGCTGCTGCTGCTGCTGCTGCTGCTGCTGCTGCTGCTGCTGCTGCAGGAACAGCAGCAGCAGCAGGAGGAGAGAGTAATGATGGGGGACAATTGATGGATATAACAAGGAATGATCCTTCTTCTTCTTCTTCTTCTCCTGCAGCAGCAGCAGCAACAACAACAACAAGAAAAACAACAACAACAACAACAACAGCAGCAGCAGCAGCAGCAGCAGCAGCAGCAGCAGCAGCAGGAGCAGCAGGAGGAGGACTAATAAGCAGCAGCAGCAATTTACGTGATATAGAGAAAAGTATATTTTGTTTACAAGAAAGTTTACAAAAAATAAGAAGAAGAATAAAAGACAGAAAAAAAAAAGAAGAAAAAGAAAAAAAAGAAAAAGAAGAAGAAAAAGAAAAAGAAAAAGAAGAAAGAAGAAGAAGAAAAGAAGAAGAAAAAGAAAAAGAAAAAGAAAAAGAAAAAGGAGATAAAGAAAAAAAAAAAGAAGAAAAAAAAGAAGAAAAAAAAAAAAGAAGAAAAAAAAAAGGATTAATACCTCTGCAGCAAATAGAGGAAGAAGCAGCAGCAATTGCTGCACAACTGCAGCAACTAATTACTATTAGATCTATTAAATTACAAGGATGCAGCAGCAACAAGAATAGCAGCAGCAGCAGCAGCAGCAGCAGCAGCAGCAGCAGCAGCAGTAACAGCAGCAAGAGTAATAGCAAGAATAGCAGCAACAGTAATATACCTGAATTGCTGCAGCTGCAGCAGCAGCAGCAGCAGATTGTCCCTGCTGCTGCTGCTGCTGCTGCTGCTGGTAGGAAATTGGATACAGAATCAGAAGCAGAAACAGAGGAGACAGAAAAGGAGACAGAAAAGGAGACAGAGGAGGAGGAGGAGGAGGAGGAAGAAGAAGAAGAGGAGGAAGAGGAGGAGGAAGAGGAGGAAGAAGAAGAAAAGGAGACAATAAAGGAGACAAAAGAAGAACGTAATAAAAGACAACAACAAGAAAGAATACAAAGAGCAAAAAAAAGAGAACAACAAAAAAATATATACTCACCAGCAGCAACAGCAGCAGCAGCAGCAGCAGCAGCAGCAGCAGGACCCCAGCAGCAGCAGCAGCAGCAGCAGCTACCATCTCCAACCGCACAACCAACAACAGCAGCAACAACAGCAACAATACCAACAACAGCAGCAGGAGCAGGAGGAGCACCGGAATCAGCAGCAGCAGGAGCAGCAGCAGGAGCAGCAGCAGGAGGAGGAGGAGGAAGTGTATTAGATCTGCATGCTGCTGCATACGCACGTAGAAGAATAGATAGAATAAATAAGATGAGGGTAGTAGGTCATTGTTGCTGCCCTGCATGCATAAAATTATATTTATATATAAATAAGGAAGTAATAATAAATATAAGAAAAAGAAGACATAATAAATTATGTATATATATAAGGAAAAAAAAAGGAGATAATTATTATAAATTATCCCCTATTATATATAAATTTATATCTAAACATTTTTATTTATCTCCGCATGCAATTAGATTATGTCTTGAATCTCCTTATGCATGCATGCAATTAGCTAGGGAGTTGCTTCCTCCTGCTGCTGCTGCTGCTGCTGCACCACATCTTACTCAACAACATATTGAGCATTGTCTCTATGCAGCAAGAAAAAAATTCAGATTGTCTCTTCTTCCTCCTGCTGCTCCTCCTCCTCCTGCTGCTGCTGCTGCTGCTGCTCCTGCTGCTCCTAAGGATAATAGGGGTGGGAGGAAAGGTGCAGCAGCAACAGCAGCAGCAGCAGCAGCAGGAAGGGGAGGGGGAGAATGGGGTATATCTATGGCAGAAGAGTTGGTGGATACAGATGAGGAAGAAAAAGATTATAAAAAGGAGACTGCTGCTGCTGCTGCATGTGCTGCATCTGCTGCTGCATCTGCTGCTGCTGCTGCTGCTACAGCAGCAATTGCTGCAGCAGCAGCAACAGGTAACAATACAACAGATGCAACAAAAGCAGCAGCAGCAGCAACAACAACAGCAACAATTGACGAAAAAGAGATCGAAGAAATGCTTGAGCAGCAGCAGCAGCAGCAAAGAAGACGCAGCAGCAAATTAATCTTATTAAAAAGAGACAAACAGCAGCAAAAGAGGAAGTCTCCTCGTCTAAGAGATTTGCTGCGCCAGTCTACTCCTGCTGCTGCTGCTGCTGCTGCTGCTGCTGCTGCTGCTGCTGCTGATGGTGGTGGTGGTAGTAAGAAGGGTTCACCAAGAAGTACAAGAGGAAGAAGAAGAAGAGGGAGAGGTGCTGCTGCTGCTGCTGCTGCTGCTGCTGGTAGGCGTAAGGCACAAGAAAAACAAACAGCAGCAGCAGCAGCAGCAGCAAAAGAAGGAGAAGCAGCAGCAGCAGGAAAAGGAGAAGGAGAAGCAGCAGCAGCAGCAGCAGAAGCAGAAGGAGAGACACAGATAAGTGTCTCTAATACAGCAGCAGATACAGAAGGAGATGGTCTCCATATAGAAGACAATAATCAACAAGACAGCAGCAGCAGCAACAGCAGCAGCAGCAGCAGCAGCAGCAGCAGCAGCACGTGTGGGGCCCCAAAGGATGCAGCATGGGTAGCGTTAGCATCTTATTTCTTAAGGCAGGCAAGAAGATCAGAGGAGGAGGAAGAAGATATTCTCTCCTATAGGGCCTCGCAAGAAGAGCAGCAGCAGCAGCAGCAGCAGCAGCAGCAGCAGCAAGAGCTGCAGCAGCAGCAGCAAGGGGAGGATACAGCAATAGATAATGGGGAGCAGCGCATGCAAATTACTGACAAACGTTATAGCCTCCCCTATATGAGCAACAGCAGCAACTGCAGCAGCAACTGCAGCAGCAGCAGCACCACCTACTGCAGCAGCAGCAGCAGCAGCAGCAGCTGTTTGCGGTATAGAATAGAGTCTGGTGATGAAGGAGAGCGCAGCAACAAAAGAATACGTCATCGTGAATAGTCTGCTGCTGCTTCTCCTCCTGCTGCTGCTGCTGTTTCTCCTGCTGCTGCTGCTGCTGCTGCTGCTGTTGCTGCTGCTGCTGCTGCTGCTGCT